GGATTGTGATAAGAGTTGTATGAGCCCCCCAAAAATGGATTGTGATAAGAGTTGTATGAGCCCCCAATAAAATGATTTTTTTTAAAAGATAAGTACAACAGAAAGCATAATACTCACTAGATTAAAAAATAATTTCACAGGAATGATCCTCAAACCATCTTCAAGCAGGTACTTGATACTCGGGCTGCAAACAACTCTGGTAAATCTTCTAGTCTTCCTGAGATCCCCAAGCATATAGTCCTTGTCTCACTTAAGTAAGCTGTGCATTCAAAGACAGACTGGTTTTTAATGATGTGCATATATTTCTCCCCTCTTTGTTGGGTCTTCGATGTACCTCAGAATCCCATAAAATAGATTTGGAGGTCTGTGAATTAGATTTCCTCAGCAGAATGGACATTTTCTTTCTTTCTTAATAAATCATTTTATTGGGGGTTCTTACAGCTCTTATAACAATCCATACATTAATTTTATCAAGCATATTTGTATATATGTTGCCATCATCATTTTCAAAATGTTTTCTTTTTGTTTGAGCCCTTGGTATCAGCTCCTCTTTTTTTTCCCTTCCTCCCCTACTCTCCCACCCTCATGTACCCCTGATAAATTATAAATTATTGTTATTTTAATGTCTTACACCACCTGTTTTCTCCCTTCACCCACGTTACTACTGTTCAAGTGAAGGTGGTGTTATGTGTCGATCATAGTAGTCAGTTCCCCATTTCTCCCCCTTCTCCCTACTCTTGTGGTATCGCTACTCCCATTACTATTCCTGAGGGATTTATCTGTCCTAGATTCCATGTGTTGTGAGCTCTTATCTGTACCAGTGTACATGCTCCAGCCTAGATGGATTTGCAAGGTAGAACTGGGGTCATGATATTGGTGGGAGGTGGGGGGTGGGGTCGGGAGCATTAAAGAACTAGAGGAATGTATGTTCCATCAGTGTTATGCTGCACCCTGGCTGTTTCATTCTTTCCTTGTGATCCTTCTTTGAGGGAATGTGTCCAACTGTCTACAGATGGACTTTGGGTTTCCATCATTTGCATCAATATATTTGTTTATTTTGGGTCTTCTGATGCCCGATACCTTAAGCCATTGACATCTCATAATCACACCGGTTGGTGTGTTTCTTCCATATGGACTTTGTTGCATCCCAGCTAGATGGCCACTTGTTTTAACTTCAAGCCTTTAAGACCCCAGATATTATACCTTTTAATAGTCAGGCACCATCAGCTTTCTTTACCGCATTTGTTTATGCACCCATTTTTACTTCAGTGATCAATCATGTTGGGAAGGTGAGCATCTCAGAATGCTAGGTGAACAGAACAAAGTGTGCTTGCATTGAGGTAGTACTTGAGTGGAGAACCAACACAGCAGAGTAGACATTTTCACATAGTTTAAAAGAAAATTTGGAAACTTTGTGTCTTCAAGGCCAATGCCTGGCTTGAATGTTGAATCATGCTTATCTTTTTTCTCTATTCTTTAAAAAAAAAATTTTATTGGAGGCTCATACAACTCTTATCACAATCCATACATACATCCATTGTGTCAATCACATTTGTACATTTGTTGCCATCATCATTCTCAAAACATTTGCTTTCTGCTTGAGCCCTTTGGTATCAGCTCCGCATTTTTCCCCTCTCTCCATTGTGTAATTTTTCACATCTCAGACTCAGCATGTGAAATGTCTGAAATTTTCCTAAAGGTCTGTTTATTACTTTTACAGAAGAAGGAAGAGCAATGTTCTCTTCCACACTGGAAGACTGAAATTCTATTGCTGATGTCAATTACTGAATATGGGCATTCGGAAGTAGATTCCCTCTGCATAATTCCTTGAAGATACTCAGAGTCTTGGCTGTTATAAAAGACAAAAGATCAAATGGAGTACAGGGTCAATGAGCTGGCAGGAGAGGAAAGGATTGAGTTCAGAAGAAATAGAATAATTAATGACCTTGGAGATTTCAGACAAATCAGATTTGCTATTGAAGGCAGGGATATAAACAGCATGTATAAACACAGAGCCAAAAACCACCAACTCAACTTTTTGTTTGAAAATCTGTTAGGTATAGAGAACTGCTCACAACCACAGCTGCTAATGGTTGTGGATTTAGCAATCAAAATGTCTTTGTAAAAAACGAAAAAGAAAGAAAGAGAAAAAATTTAACTGCCTTACTATTGAGGTTACAAACCACAACCTTGATGCACTGTTTTTTATTTGTTTTGTTTTTAGTAAATGACTTTATTGGGGCTCTTACAGCTCTTATAACAATCCATATATCAATTGTATCAAGCTCATTTGTGCATAGGTTGCCTTCATGCATTATTGTAGTCAACACCCTCCTTGCTGTTTTAGAGAGCTTACATCTGGGGCTGCAGATAAAATGCTGGCAAACAGCATGGGCTCCTTCCAAGGGAATTCAAAAAAAGCTTTAAATTAACTAGAAGGCTCTCGTTTACCATTCTTGCCTGGCTTGAGCCCACAGCCTTTTCTGTATCACTTCTACCTTTGTCTAGGTTGAAGATGCAATGGGTTTTGTCTGGGTTTTTTTGTTGGCAAGACAAGTTTTAGCTCAGGGTATTTTTTAAAAGCCACTTACATAGTATAGTGCACTGGATTTTAAAACAATCACTAATTAAACTTGTGTGTGTATGTGTGTGTTTTAAGATAAATTAATGATCACATTATGCCAAAATTACGCCAAAACAATGCGTGCTTAGTATATTTTTACCTACCAAAGAAAGACCAAGAATGTGAGCTCAGAAAGCAAATTACTGTGCTTCGTTAGAGAGAGAAAAAAAGTTAGGAACACCAGTTGGAGAGATTAAGTGTTCCAAGTCACCTACAAGGTTAGTTTCAGTTGAAATTTAAAAATTAATAGTGTTCAGAGAAAATGGAATTCAGCTAGGCGATAAGAAATGGGACAAGGGCTGCTGAAGAAAGACACAGGTCAAAGAACTGTTTCCAGGATGGTTCTTATTCAGTGAGTTTACCTACGGGGATAAAGGCAAGCCAATCATACCTAAGACTAGTGCTTCGCAAATCGCATATACCACAGGATACCGCTTCTGCCATATGTAAATAAGCAGTAGAAATGGAGAATGGGAGGAAATAGTGTGTTCAAAGGTTTTAAAAAGACAGTATTACAGGTACTTCTCTAAGAGTTATAATGCATATTGGCATATGAAGGGCTCCTAGAAGGTCTGCAGTAAACAGTCATGCTTAACTCCGTTTCACTGAAATATTTTCCAAATGCATTTGCCCATCAAGGGTTTTTTTTTCTTTCAGAGAATACTTACGTCATGGTATAGTTTCAGAAATGCTTGTTTGGGGCTATTGTACCTAACTCTGAATTCACTTCTTCAGAAACAAGAATGAGGCTGGTCTAACACACTGGGAAACCACATTTCTAACATTCAGAACTCTAATTCAAATAGAGACAGGTAAATTACTAAAGACAGTCTAGAGTAGTGGTTCTCAACCTTCCCAATGCTGCGACCCTTTAATACAGTTCCTCATGTTGTGGTGACCCCCGACCATAAAATTATTTTTGTTGCTACTTCATAACTGCAATTTTGGTTGAGAACCACTGGTCTAGAGCCTAAACTCATTTGACTTTGTATCAGGTGGTGTTTGCTTGATAGATAAATGAAAAAGTAAAATAAGGTCTTGGGTCAAAATCTACCACTCACTACCAGATATCCTTGGGTTTTCTTTTGGAATGCAAACTTAAAGGAAACTTTAAGTTATACTAATCTGTAAATGACTGTGAGTCTCTAACACTGAAGCCCACAGCAATGTAAGGTATTTTGATATTTAGTCTGAATAAAAGGTGAGGGCTTCCCTGAAATGATCACTGAAG